TTATAACTTAGTACAATACCTACCAGCACAATGGTTATCAGTTATAAAATATATGGGATTCATCTATAGGTCAACTCTGGCTTGGGCCAGTTGTCCAAGCCTTAGCACTTCATGTATTTATATATATATATATATATATATAAAAAAAATATATACAATTCTGATCATGGCCACAGGGCTGAAATGGGTTTATATTTACCCCAAATGCCTACATTTTATACAGCTGGTGTCACATTACACATGTGACACCATGCCTCTGTTTTAAAGATGTTCTGGGCTATGAACCACATATTTCTTTGTCTGCATTAAGAGATACATGGAGGACAGGTGATGTGTCACATGTAAACAGCTTACAGCTGAAAAAAAATTTATTTTAAACTATTTTCTCAGTAATTAAAATTATGGAAGTTTTTCCTCTCACAGCCTTATCCATAAGAACTTAGAAACATGGACTATCTGAACTTCATTGCTGCTATAGAATTAATTCACTCCTGTGACCAGACTTGCTCTTAAATTCACCCTCATTAACACCCCAAACACACTGTTTTCTACCAGCTCTGGCTGCTTTGCAAGGGAAGGAAAGCCTGTATGCTATTCCCATCCCTACTGGTTATCCTGCAATGAGAAAACCACTAAATCATTTACATGATAAGAGTCACTCAGTGTTTTTCCACCAATCCCTCACAATCTCAGAAAGGCAAAAAATCCATCCTATAACTTATTCTGAAGGAAATGGCAAGACCAGCTTCTTGTTCAGGATCCACCTGTGCATCCTGAGAGGCTATTGGTCCCAACAGTGGTGAATGCAGCAGCCGTTAATTGTTGCACAGTATTTTCACACTGATTTCTAATACAAAGTATTTCAAGGCAAAATTCTCTGTTGACTTGCTAACGCAGCTTGTGGAGAGAAATCTTGGGTACATTCTAGTTTTTAAGAGCATTTACCTGCAGAGATGAACTGCAGAACTGTCCCCAGAGGCAACCATTTATACAATCTAGCTACGGAAATGCCACATACATAAGCAGCACTGAGCAGACACCTTTTCTGGAGGACCCTCTGAGAGCAGATGGGATTTGTAAAGAGAATGAAGCCATCGATTATCTCTGACATCAGTTAAACGTAGTGATTCTCATCTCTTCGCAAAACCCAGCCTTCTGTTCCCAGGAGCCAGGACACGAAAGAGACAAAATGAGGCGACAAGAAAAATGAGAACAGCAAGGCTGCATTATGATGAGGTGCTGGGAATTTGTAATTGTTGAGAAACGATATCAAAAGACGAAGAAAAAGTCTGCTTGGGACAAATTTTATTTTGCTTTGCATCATAAGTATTTAGGACAGAATTTATACTGATTCTACATACAAAATAAAAGTGCAAGCCAAACAAAACAGTTTTCATGGAATCTAAAGTTAACGTACAGAACAAGAATTCTTATTACTGAATACTTCTAAGAAAGTAAATTGATTACACACTCAAAACTAAAATTCTCAAGACACAAGACAGTATAAGAAAATAAAATGTCTCATCATGACTTCAGTTTTGCTTTTACAGGCAGGTATAAAGCACCAGCTGAAAGTATAATCTCTACAATGTGTGTTCCATGCAAAGTAATTTCAACTAGACTATGCCAAATATTCAGGAAAAATAAATCACTTCCAGTGAAACTGAGTAGTGAGGAACATTGCTCTGTCAAAGTTAAGAATGGCAAAAAGAATAAGGGAATATTTGAGGTTTTTTCTTAGACACATCTGAATTTTTCCAAATATTATATCCTGGTTCAGCTAGAATAGGGTTAAGTTTCCCCAGCAGGGAGGGGGATCTCCAGCCGGGTTATTCATACCATGCTGACGTCAGGTCTGGCACAGTAGCACGGGAAGAGTTTCCTTTGTGGCTTTGGTTGCAGGAAGCACGCGTGGTGGGCTGCCTGTGTTCACTGTGGTATTTCTCTGTATATCTTTTGTCTTGTTTACAGTTATTACTGTTTATTGTTGTTATTATTGCTATTGTTGCTCTTCAGATTGTTATTTATTACACTGTTGTATTAAATCTTGTCTTATTTCAACCCCGGGGTTTGTGCCCTACTAGGTCCAAGAGTGCAGGAGGGACAATGGCAATGTGGTCTCCAGTCCCGGCAGGGCCTAATCCACCACAGATTATTAGGATTTTAGTTAGTAAACCACTAGTTTATCTTAGAAGAGTCATTTGAAGGTCATTAAGCCCTATCTAACATACCACAAGTTTAACTTCATGACAGAGATGTCCAGAAAACAACACACTTATAGAATTCAAAATTACTATCCTGAAATGCGTGTTTAGTGACTAATGAATCCTGGAGATGCCTTTAACTAATGAAAGCTGCATCCTGCAATCTTATATATTGTGGTGTTTGTAGATATGCAAAATAACTTTGCAGGGCTGAGCCACTTTGCTCAGCTGACATTCCCGGTTGACAAGCATTCTTGTACCTGATTTTCCTGTGAACATACATTTTTCTAGTAAAACCCAATCAGATCAGATCCACTCAAAATGCACCCAGAGAAGGCACACAGAAGAGAGAGGGATGGCAGATAAGAGAAGGAAGAGATGAAACCAGATTTAAATGTTAAAATATCCTTCTAGTAGTAAGAAAACCAATATTTATTTCCCTCCTGTGGCTGGATTTTAAAGAGAACCATGATACTCAGTTACAAATTGCTTGTATGGGATTATTCCCCCATTGCTTTTGCTGAAAC